AAAAATACCGCGGTTTATATGTCTACATACTGCCTCAAACAGGATATAAACCTACACCCCATTGACTGTATGACTAGTGTCGTCAACACTGTACCTCACAGTATTCTAAATTCATGGTCCTTTGTTAGACTGCCCAATTTATTTATTCATATAAAACCACGTAATCACAAAACCTAAAATTTCTGTCTGTCCTGTCTGTTCCCTGCTTGAAACAGTTCCCGACACATTGCAAACTCGGTGTCTTCTCCGACATTTGTGTTATGAAGTTTCTAAAGGGTTCTGACGATGGCATATAACATATAGGATTACTGGGATTTTTTGGCTTTGTCCATCGTCCGGTATTCTTGAAAATTCTAGAGAACGTTTCGGAAACTGGAACTATTTCCGTTCTCAGGTGAAGGGGGGAGACATCTACTCTGGTGGCTACCTTAGAAAGAGATCAATTCCCTCAGTCACTGGACGAAACAGATCCAATTTCGGAAAAGGTGTGTTCTCTAGTTTTCAAGAATACAGGACGGTGGACAAAGAGCAAAAACCCAGTAATTTTGACTTGTGTAATGTTTGTTATTTACATCAAGGCTTAACTACTTAAACAGAAAACAAGACCGAGGGAAAAAATAAACTTCAGGTTACTAATTTTATTCCCAAAACAAGCGGGCAGAAGAGAAGCCCGCAGTTCTTTCCGGGCCCCACTAATTTGGCTGCACGGCAGAGCTTCTAAACTATGACATGTGTACTGCTAGTGGTGCACTGAAATAATTCGTGTGGTGGACTTACACACAATAATTGCATATTTGCATTACAATGGAGTCCACATTTGTGCTTACGAGGGAAAACGGCCAAGAGCGGGGGGGAATATTCAAAACAAGAAATGGCAACACTGCCAATGGCTTCAGCTTATCAACTGAGAATTTTCTGCGTTCATGTGGTATACGTTTTACTATAGTTTTGGTAGCGTATAGAGTGTGACACGAAGTGATAATGGTTATTTGCTTTATAAATGGTTCTCTGAAGCCCAGGAGTGTGTTCGGCAAAGAAAAGGGAAGTGCAAGAAATGGATTCGGAAAACAAAACAAATTAACTCTGCGTGTATTTAATCACTTAGTGTCTTGAATGCAGACACTGGCAGAAATTCTACCCATTTTAAAATGATTATATGATATTATCATGCCCGTGTAGTCTACGTGTCCTGCCTCAATAACGTTTCAACCAACTTACAGATTCTTATCAAACTCGGTATGCATATAATGCCAGTAGAGGCCGCTGACATCTTTATTTCCTGATATGAATAACATTGTGCGAGCTCCTTAATGTGAAGGCCTGAAATTTTGTGTGGCAATAGATCTTCCAAAAATCTGCAATTTTTATGAGACAATTTATTCGTAGACTGGAAGCCACACGAAATCAGTATGCAGATTTCGGTTTCATGGCGATAACAAATAGGCCACTGAAAGTTACGCACGTAAAATTTGGTATGGAGGTCACAAATATACTTGCAGATTCTGTATGATGTCTTTCTTTTAAATTTATAAACAATTAAAGGCAAGGCATTGATGTGATCTTTGAAGTTACAGATCCATTTCACAAATTAAACAGTTGAATGTGTACTAGTAAAAATTATGCACAGCAATGAATTCCATAGTACTGTCACTCGACTGCAGGCCCTATCGTACGTACTGAAATGTTTTAAGGAAGATGGCCGTCGTAAGTTCTCCCCACAACTCGTTTCTACCTCACGGCGTTACAAAGTCTCTCCAGTTCCTCACTGTCCGCGTATTGGGGAGCTGGGAAGCATATGTAATACGCGTTCCAAACACCCGTACAGGTGTTCTTTTGCTTAAATAAAATGATATCGAACTAATTAACTGGAAGGAAAAGATTCCTTACTGATAATCACGAAATTCCATGTTTCTACGGATAAAATAGACTTATTATACCATCCCCTAATGATAGGTGAATGGTAATTGTAAGGGACAAATCGAATAAGGCTTATTCATAAAGCCTAAAATTCTATGTTGAATTTTCTGGCATTGAACCCCAGTCCTCCCTGGTGGAAAGCTAACTACCCATCTGAATCATTGCATGGCTTTAAGCTCAGCAGTAATATAACTTATTACGTAGTATCTTACGAGAGTCCTACTCCTTCCAGATCCTTTCGTTTCTTATCATTATCATTATCTTCCCATTCTGTATTTCCTAAGTTAAACGGCTGAAAACACTTCCTCAGATAACTTACAGAGTAATGAGACGCGACTGACAGTGCTGTCAGGATTCAAGGGAAAGTGTATATCATAAGAGCAGACGTATCCGTCCATCGGCCGGGGTAAGAATTATGGTTCTTCTCCTATCAGTATTACAATGTATAGTATAATAGTACAAACTTTAAAGAGCGAGAAACATTCAAACACTGCATTTATTGTAAATTAACTTCTGGTTATCATGCAATTGGTTTCTGGTTACAAATGAAAAACAAACAAACAATTCCCTATCTTTGCCACTGGAACTACACTGAATAACGTGTTATCAAACACTCTTATACAATGAAATCGTCGCTCTAAGCACTATGCACTCTAACTGGTAACAAAGCTTGAAGCTTAACAATTAGTTAATACAACGACTTTCATCACTTTGATTAGGAAAAAGTGACAGTATATAACGACGGAAGGAAAAACACGTGGTTCAATGCACAAATATACGTACACACTATCTACCTTAGAATATAATTCTGAAATTAATCCGCATGAATATGCTTAGAGCATGCATCAAATTTCCTGTAAGAATGTGTTACATAACAACTGCTGCCTGTAGATATTGATAAAGAAGACAATGACAATCAAATCACATCCTCAGGGAAATGTTTTTCTTCGTAATATTTAATCAAGGAAATCAAAATAAACTAAAGCAGACACGTAATTACCGAAGTGAACGGAGAAGTTCATGCAGGTAGGCCTAGGCCCACTGGGGCTGTAGTGCCAAAGAAAAAAGACACGTAATTAAATTGTCGCGGGTTCGATTCCCGATGAGGTCGCTGGATTTTCAATTGGCCTAATCCTTCCAGCAGCCGCACTATGGCCCTGGGGTCAACTCAGCCTCTAACAGAAATGAGTACAAGGAATCTTCCAGGGGGTAAAGGGTGGCCGGCGCGTAAGGCTGACAAACTCTGCCATCTGTGAGCCGATTGTGTAGAAAATGTGGGAGCCTCAACGTCTCACAACCATATGGGCCTCCAGGGCCTGTTACAGGGATAGCTTTACCTTCCCATTACAATATTTAAGCATGAAGATCATAAGAAATTAAATTTTACTCATGCAATTAAAATTAAGCGGAATGAGGCCTCGAAATGCAAGCACAATCTGTAACTGCTTGGTTATTTAACGATGCTGTCAGTAAGATCTAAAAGTCTGTGACACTGGTATATTAAAATAATTATTGTGTTTTTGGACATTAACCATTTTCCTGTTCTTTTTTTTTTATTATTATTTACAACACAACGTTTCGGAGACAAGATTCTCCCTCCGTCTTCAGGTAAAAGCCTATTCAGTTGGGCCCAATCGATAGAGCTAGTTATCTGACGTTTCGGATATGTCTATATATCCTATCTTGTGTTGGTGTTTCGAGATAGGGAAATCTCTGTCGATTTGGTCCAACTGAACAGGTTTTTACCTGAAGACGGGGAGAGAATCCATTCTCCAATACTTTGTGATTTAAATAAAAAAGCAGGAAAATGGTTAATGGCCGAAAACATGATAACTGCATTCTATCAACGCCGAGGCCTTATAACGTCGGACCACAACATAAACCGATAATTCTCTGACCGCTTGGGACAAAGCTCGATTCATTATACTGGACATTATATTACATTGGACACCGTCCATTATCTGGGGTATGTTTCACATAAAGACGTTTCGAAAACTGTACCTGTTAGGAAAAGTTCAGTGATTGGGATAAGTCTTTCAAACGGGACCATCTGAGTACGTTCATTTCCAGCCTTACGTCTGAAAACGAAAAGAGACATAATTTCCGAAACATATAATTGTTGTGGTTAATTTTTATCATTATCTTACTATACAGTGTTGAACATTATGGTGACTGATGAACTGAACGGCATCAGGAAGGAAGCGGATATGGCATAATCGAGCAAAATCTCGGTATCTTCCTGAAGGAACTGAGGAAATCCATGAGGAACCTCAGCCAGGGTAGCTGGTGTCTTGGCCGAGATTCAAACCGAGCACCTCCCTATTGCAAGTATATAGACTCTCCTCTGGACCAACATGTTCAGTACAGAAACGTTGCTGTGTATTTACAATATACCCCAGACAATGGACAATGTGCAAAAAAATATTCGTATACAAACCGTTATTTCGTAACGCCGTAACAGCCTGGGTTATCGTACACAGTACTGAGTGTTCCCTATTCGATCCGAGGTAGGAAACAGGAAACTGGTTAAGTGTGGACTGAAGAGAGGATGGAGAGACTAAATGTTCACCCCTGTTACCGTCCCAGATAGACTGCGTTGTCAGGACCGTTTCCTTTCTGATATATCCCGCGTTTTATGAATTACCTCTTTACCTCCCTCTCGCTAGTTTAGTTTCTTTTTAGTTTCTTAGGGTGGGGTGAGACTGAGTCCACTTGGTACCTCGGCCACTGTTTGGCCTATTGTACCAGCCCCGGGTGACAGATGATGAGTGTGAAGCAGTCGGTGGAATGAGAATTGGCAGGGGAAAGACAAGTACTCGGAGAAAACGTGCCCCAGTGCCACTTTGTCCGCCACAAATCCCACATGACCTGACCTAGGCTCGAACCCGGACCGTTGCGGTGGGAAACCGGCGACTAACAGCCTGAGCTATGGTACGGCCTATTCCCTCTCGCCAGGTACCTCACAGAGTTCTCCGTAGTCTTCACGTAATGCAGAAACAAGTAAATCGCTGGAACTTGAGAACGTGTCACAATCACCACTGGCAACATTAAATGCAGTTACAGATATTCAAGTGTCTACATGCCTTGGTTTTGCTGTGATTTCTTGGAGTCTTCCGACGTACGCAGGGTTGAACGCACTGAGACGTCATGCTCGTTATAGGGCTCCCATAGGTTTCGCCTTCGGAACTCTAAAAAGAAAAAGGTACAGAAAATGTGAAAGAAGGAATCATTGGATCCTTGTATCTGCCCCCATGGGCACCGGTAAGGCGACTAAGCCAGGCTTCTGCCCCCCCCCCCTTACGTTTAAAAGAATTAAATAAAGAAGGGAAAATACCGAATATTAATAATAAATTTAAAATGATTCAAATATATTATTTTATTCTGAATACTCTAAGGTAATCACTAAAAATAATTCCAAATGGTTTAAATGTAAGTTTGTTAAGTAAATTGTCTGGGTACCCCCTCAATGGAAACCTGGCGACGCCAATGTCTATCCCCCTAATAATTTTAGAACAAACTGACGGGTTTTCTTGCCCAAGTACAGAACAGACGACTTATGGCTTCCCTACTAAAACAACTGTCGTGGGAACGTCAGACGTATATACGTATCTTATATCGCAATAATTTTGTACGAGCATTAAGCCTTTTTTCATACTTAAATAACTGAACTATTTTTTCAAAATAATCTAACAAAGGTACGAGCAAATACATGCCAACTTACGTTCACGATAGTATGACAAGTATAAAGTCGAAATTACATTAAAAAGTACTGAAATTTATGGAACAGGGTATAAAATTCTAGTTCGTTTCTAAAAAACTCTATTAATTCCATAATTAGCATGTCACTGGAGATAACATTTTATAAAGATGTCGCTTGTACTTAGCAGACTTTGTGTAAAAACTTTCAAAATGCTTTCTTCGGTAGTTCTAGAGAATAAAATTACAGTTCGGTCTTCCCTTAATCCGTTTGTTAGCAGCGGTTTGCGGACACCGGTTAAAGAAACACTTCTAAAGTTCAGCTTGGGAACACCCTTACTTTTACCTCGCGTGGGTTTCGTGGGCTTCTCGTAACGTTTACTGCAATACACCACACACACATAAGCCACAGGGGACTAGCATAGCCATTTCTGAAAGTTCCATTCCAAGACAAAAAAGATCTTAAGGAAGCAGGAAGTGAGGTGTGGACTGTATGCACCTGGCTCAGGATAGGGCCCAGGGGGTAGTTCAAGTTATTATGGCAATGACCCGACGCATTCCACAAAAGGAGGCGAATTTATTTACCAGATAAGCGACTACAAGCTCATTACATGGAAATATGTTGCATGTACAGTCAGTCAGTCCCAGCGAACTGATGAACTCCCTCACTCACTCACTCACTCACTCACGGAGCTGAGCGCTTCTTGAGAAGCCACCAATTGTGCAGCTACTCAAAATCCAGAAGGTTCATTACCGTGTTCAAAGAGCCCTCCACTGGTTCCTATCCTGAGCCAGATCAATCCATTCCACGCAATCCCATCCTATCTCTCTAAGATCCATTGTAATATTGTCCACCCACCTACGTCTTGGTTTTCCCAGTGGTCTTCCCAATGGTCTCTTTCCTTCTGGCTTTCCCACCAGTATCCTATATGCATTCCCCTTCTCCCCCATTCGTGGTACATGCCCTGCATGGCGCGTCCTCAGGTTGTGGATGAAGGAGACGCCCTTCAGGTATGGAGGGCTGCTGCGAATATATTGAATAAGCTGTCGCGGACAGCCGACAATGGATGGTCCTCCAGCTTTGGATTGGGGGTGAGGCTAACAACTCCTAACCGTAAAAAATAAGCTTGTTACGAAAGAGATACAAGAAGCCTCGGAACTGATGAACAAAAGAACAAAGCACTGCCTGTGCTGAACCCTGCATGCACTAACCCAGCCGAAACTCCCGCTTCTGTGACTTGCAGACCAGATCATGTACGCTGACTGTTTAGCGACTGGAGCAGCTTCGGAAATTATGAAATAGGTTATAAAGACGATCATAGAATCTGGACGAAAATCGTCGTTAACTGATACCGACGTAACGTACGTATGTATGTAGAGGTTGGGTAAGTTTAAAATCTCATCATTAGGTTAAAGTCAGAGAACAGTTTCACTCTCCTGCCTCTTCACGCCTCCCAAGAATTTCTGCTACCCGCTGGAGAAAAGGCTTAATGTTCCCCACGCGGTTAGCCCATTGCCCGAAGTTGTCCCAGTCCCCCCTACTTTACATGAATCTGCAGATATCAGGCGAACACAGCTGGGTGATAGGGATCCAGCCCTATCTATGCTGCCCAGATACTGCGACGTTCACTTGTTTTATATGGGTATAAACTTGGTGTCTCAATGAAGAATGGCGTCTTCGTGGATGTGGGGCCGTGTAGGTAGTGTGTAAACCGACGTTTCGCAGGAAAATACCGCCTCCATCTTCAGTATATAAAAATCGNTGTGTAAACCGACGTTTCGGAGGAAAATACCGCCTCCATCTTCAGGGTATAAAAATCCGCTGGTTCCTCGCTCGCCGATTTTTATACCCTGAAGATGGAGGCGATATGTTCCTCCGAAACGTAGGTTTACACAATATCTACACGGCGCCACTTCCTAGAAACGGTATTCTTCATAGTCACCGCCGTGCAAACATCAAATCTTACTTGGTGTCTCAATGTTCGAGACGAATATAAATTGCTAAGCACTGGGAAGAATATGTGGACGTGATGCAGAGGAAATAATGACATAGTTGGTAAAACTGTGTAAACAGAAACTTCGTAAAGTGCTCTCTGCCCCCCCAGTATTGCTCTAAAATCATGATGAATGAGATAGACGACACTACGAGTGAAGTTAAACATTCATAGATAAGGAACACCCTAAGAAACTTCTGGGATAATCCCGAGTGAGCCCGGTGCAGGTTGATTGTGATTATCTTAAAGAAACAGGACGTGAAGTTGTGGACTGGACACGACTTGCAGAGTAATATAATCTGAGACATAACACACTGTAGTCCGCCGAAAGTCAACCGAAGTTTCGGAGGAACATGGCCTCAATCTTCAGGGTCGAATAAGCCGAGCAAGATATCAGCGAGAACGCAGGAGCAGCCCCAGAAAACAGTACTCTTCATAACCACTGCTGTAAGAACCTCAGATCCTACAGAACTCTCCATAACCATTGCTGTGAGAACCTCTGTACTATGTACTTACACAATTTATAGTAAGGACAGACATTTGGACAAAATCAAACTAGACTCACACTGCAAGTGCGCGTCGGTGACAGGTGTGATGGGAGGTCAGCCACCCGCATGGTGACTTATCAGCAGGATGCGCCCAACTCCAAGTTGTGGTCTGATAACAGAACCGACCTGCCAACTTGACAGTTCAAAATACGAAACCAAGTCGTATTTCAAGTCACTTCCTAACAGCAAAAGCGTATTAAATCTCATAAAGATTCAAGTTAGTAAAGCTGTCCCTGTGCTTAATTAAGCACCAAGCCAAGAAGACGCATGAGGGAGTGACTTATAGTGACTTCATTCTTCATCTCGGCCCTTGATGGAGATGAGTGGTCAGCTTCATGCACCGGCTGATTTACTCTCGAATAAAGAGACCCCCGGTTTTCATTGGATAAGAAGCCGGGTGGGCGCCGTAGTCGGTCTGGACGCTGTGGAGTGCAGAAAAATTTCTTGCCCCTACCAGAAACCGAACGCCGGCCTTCCAGGCCGTAGCCTATGGTTATATCGATGGAGCTATCCCGGCTCCTCTGGAACCGTTGTAGTAAACAGAATTTCCGTTTCCAGGCCCGTTAGAAAGAGTCACTTTGAAGACAAAGGAAACAGCGGGAGTAAAACATCACTCCCACCAGATCTATATATAAGATTTTTTTCGTAGTTTTCCTTTGCAAGGACAAAAAGTGTAGTTATTTCAACGGACGCTCTTGGGCCATATGATATTAAAGAACTGTGTAAGGACTTCACTTCCGCAGCCCTAAATGTATGTGTGGGCGCATCTAGCAGAACATCAATATAACTAACACCAGCCGTATTTCGATATTTCAAACCATGAAAGATGTGAAGATTAAATTATTAGGTGTAACTCAAGTCAACGAAAAACACCTGCAATCTCTGATGACGCTATTCAGAGTTCAGTTCATAAACACAAAATGGCTGGAAGTGTCAGCTTTTATGGTGACAACACTAACAAATGTAGCATTTGAGGTTTTCACTGCAGTGACTATGAAGAATGCCGTTTGTGGGATGTGGCGCCGTGTATATCTTGTGTGAACTGACGTTTCGGAAGAACGTATCGTCTCCATCTTCAGGATAGAAAAATCCGCTAGCGTGCAGCATGAGCAGGTGGTTGCAGGCTGCAGTATTTGTATGGGTTATGGCATCGTATAGTGGTTACCAGCCGGTAACGGTAGCCGAGCGGTATAAGGCATGTACTGTCTTCGCTCGCTTGGAAACCGGGATCGTGGGTTCGAATCCAACTCAGGGCATGGATGTTTAGTCTGTGTGTGTGCGTTTTTCTGTGTTTGTGTATAGGTAGACGTCTTACGACGAGCTGATCACCCGCCCAAGGAGTCCTACCGAATGTGTAAGATCTAGAAAAACCGAAGTGAACGGAGAAATTCATGGAGGTAGGCCTAGGCCCACTGGGGCTGTAGTGCCAAAGAAAAAAATTAATAGTACAGGCGGATATCTCTCTCTCTCGGATTGTAACAAGCACCGTCATAGCATCACTCTCAAGCGGATGGTTCTGTCCTCCTGACAGAATTAGGGCCACTCTCACAAAAAAAAAAAAATGTTCAAATCAAGTGCAGGATGTTTTAATGCAAAAACAGATTCCCTCGTTTTTAGTGCCAGTCTCCAAAGACACAGCATACGTATTCACGAATTTCTATGAAGTTCTGGTTGATTTTCCTCCCTTTCATCAAATTTTAATTTAATTTTAATTGTAATTGCTAACGAATTACTCCCTTAAAGACCGAAAGAGAGAAAGAGAGAGAGGAACAGAGAGTGGTGGGAGGCAGCGAGAGACACTACATTTGAAGACTGTCACACTCACGGTCAAAGTTACTTTACGACTGACGGTATACAGTCAAATTTCTCCTAAATAATACGTAAAAATCCAGTTCGCAACTCACAGGAAACACACTGCGTCTGCGCTACAAAGATCAATCGGGTAACAGG